GCGTGTTATAGCTGAAGTTAGTTCGTTTGAGATGAAGGGCAAGATAAATGAGACCTTATTATCACTAGAGTTATCGTTTGGAGGCTTGAGCTTTCCTCTGCACCTGTGCCGAGGAGCTACGGCTTCGTAGCCATTGGAAATGGCTATTTCCCGCGCGAGGTTCCGAATTTCTTCCTTCTACTCTCTTCCTGTACACACGCTGGTGGCTGTTCGAAACATGTTTCTTACAAGCGCCCTTTTCGTGTGTGAGGCGTGAGAGGAGACGTATTGAATCAAGATGTTTTTACTACTTGGTTTTCGGTACAACTTCGTAACGTAGCCTTTTTCTGACGGGTTAATTTAGACGTTCAGGAATGGAAGCCATTTATCTTTCAGCTTTTCTCTGGTGAACTTGACATACTCTAACTGTTTGTTCAACAACTCGAAATATTTGTCCATTTAATCTTGTGTTGAGCCAAGGACAACGCAGTCATTTATAAATCTACAGTAGAGTCACAGCCTGAGATCGGTCACTGGTGCTTCCATCTTAGAATATAAACGCAATGGCAAGACTTGCTGTCAGTCGCTGTCCCATTGCCAGCCCTCTTATTTGAGCGTATCACTTTCCGGACCATCTGAAGATTGAGCAACTCAAACATTTTTAAAAAAGAGTGCCATTAACTTCTCTATCTTAAAGCCGTACATGGTTACTTCTCCTTCATATTGGATAAGGAGTTCGAATGTGGCTTGTATAGAGCCATTCGACACGTTTATATAAAGGGCGGTAACATCGAAGGACTTCATCACGTACGCGCTGATGGGCTGCGCAGTACGTAGACGATCCAGAAACATCTGGGCAATCGTAAGATGGGATGGAATGTGTTCCAGCAAATGGGTAAATCTTAAGGTGAAAAAGCACGTTATCCTATCCGTTGGCCCGTCTACACAGCTAGTGATACGTTTAACCTTAAACAATGATGGATCGGTAGACGCATGATCATCGGTGGATACTAATTTATGAGTTTTATAAGCAAGTGCAAGATGGGACATTTTGGTAAATCAACTTTTAGTTGAGAGATAACTGATGGTTTTGAACCAGCAGCCCTAGAAAGTCGATCGTGGGGATAAAGTAACACCTCGTGTTGGTTCAACAGGAATATCGAGAACTATTTGATCAACGCCGAGCTTAATAGAAAGTTGGCGGTGAGAATTTAGTAAACTTTTATTTGAAAGCAGGAGGACGGCAGAACGTTGAGCTACTGAAGAAATGGTCATAAACAAACTTGATTCAGCGACAATGATGTTCACATATTTGCATATTTACTTGGTATTTTAAACGGGATTCATTTGATAAGCGACAATCCTGTGACGTGCACAGTTATAGTAAGTGGAATCAAAGAGCAGAGAAAGAGAAGAACACACAGAGTTGGATAAATGACGCACGTCGCAACATCGCCTGAGGTTGACCAGCTGCGTCCTGGAAGAGTATGGGATTTCCGACTAAGGGCCATAGCAATACAGCAGGAACAAAACAGTAGAAAACAAATTGTAATAAAATATGAAATATGGAATGATGAGAAGAGATTGAATACTTAAACATTCTTGTCAATAGGACGGTTTTTATCTATACGAAAGCAAAGTGAACAATTAGTTAGCACAAAGTTAGGAAATCCCAAAACACCAGATATCACCACGTTCACCCAGGAAAAAGTGGAGAACGTCTCGCTAGCTTTAGCTGTACTAAATTGGTCATTAGCCACCATCTCTTTTCTGCATTTACTAGTTTTTATTGTCATTATCAGAAAGGGAGTTTCGACAGCAAGGCAAAGGCAAAATTCGTTAAATTGATCACCAAATTAAAAATTAGGAAGAAGAACGCACGACTATAAAAGATTAAAATCAAGCAGCGAAAGGTTTAGATCGAAAGATGCCAAAGCCAAGAATTTAGATAGAAATGAGATAAGAAAGTAACATACAGCTGTGTAAATTGTCTTTTAATAAATACATTCCTTGCTGCATATTTAGGGCGCATGTGGCGCAGTGGCTAGAAGCGCCATTGCGACACACACGTGGAATCGATCCCTACGGCCATGGCTCACCAAGCCTTCCATTCCTCCGAGGTCAGCAAATTGGAATCAGACTTGTCTGGAAGGATAGCGGCACTGATACATCGGTAGATCACCGCGAGTCATTGCAAAGGCATTCAATCACCTCCAACGATACTGAATAAAGTCGAATGCATGGTGCGTCCCTCAAGGACTGAACACGGCCTAGAGCTTTTTTATACTGCATATTTGAAGACAACGAAAGATAGGAGAGTTAAAATATAATGGTAGATTGTAGTACAGTGTGTAACTCCTTAGTTCCGTTATCCCAAGGGTTTCAAGGGTGAATGAACTCTAACAGCATTTAACAACATTCATAACGAAGACGGAACTGACCAAGCAGCAGCCTAACCTACAAACATAATTTAGAAACCTTCGTGGACAATGGATGCGAGAAAGCAAGTCGATTTCAACAAGTGTTGTAACAGTACAACAGATGTGAAGACCGACCATACTCGCTATTACCCTTTCCGGCAGTTAACGCGTTTTACCACCACCCCATGCAGGTTCTTCGTTTTTTTGCCCATCTCTCAGCTGTGTACACTTTTTTAAACAAGAAAAAGTTACCTTAAGGCAACGCAAACGATACCGATGGAAATCGAAGACATTTTGGATAATGACAGACGTAGTCGAAGCCCGAATAAATCACCACGTTATGCCGTAAAATTGCTTCACGTTCTGCCCCAAGAGCTTCATGAAATCCACTCAAACGTCTGGGGTTTGAAAACTCCTGGAAGCCTGACACCGTAGCAGATTCCTGGTACAATATTTCTCCGGCTCAATGGGGTAGCTCAAGAAAAACATTATCAACCTTTGTCAACTAACTGACAGGTTTTGATGTTTTAAACGAATCAACCAATTTCTTATTGTGAGACCAAAATAATGTCGCATTCAGAATTTGGCAAGCAAACAGGTTTTTTTCGTGCTAGTCATAGAGCAAGTACTTAATTTACTGCTCTTTTAGAACGAAACTTCCATGTTTCATCTTTCACCGCAGTGCCCATGAACAAGTTGACGCCTACCGTTAGGACCTTTGGACGAAAACTGTGCATTGTGCTGGGGCAGCTGGTTAATTATCGCCCAAGTTGCAACCTCAAACAAGCGTCATTTAGTCAACCTTGTGTAATCTTTTTATTCTTCATTCTTTGGTTTCATTTTCTATATAAAGAAACTCTCGTCCTAGAGAAATATCACCAGCCACGATAACTATACCTTATGCTTTCCTTATTAATTCCTTATTCGGAACATTAGAAAGAGCTTATGTTTACTCCTATGGAACTACGTTTACTGAAAGAAATATCGAACTCATTTTGAGCTTGTGTAATTCTGTAAATAGGGTGAATAAACCGCTGTAGATAACACTTTGAGACTCAGAATATCTTATAAGAACGCAGCAAACAAGGACAACGACCTTTTTCTTATCTGCACTAACAAGTAATGATTCAAACGACAGAAACGCTATGTGCTCAATATAATCGTCATGCTGAATTGAATCCGTAGGGTGTACACTGTTGCAACATACCCTATTCGACTTTCCAGCATTTCTTTCATTCCATTCTCTTTAATGTTTCAGGATGAGAGTGATAATATTCGCATTTTTGGTCACTATCGTCAGAGCACGGATTCTGGAGAGCTCGGAAGCTAGAGCTGAACGATCCGAAGATGGTTTTGAAGTGAAAGCAAAAGAGAGATATAACTTACTCAGAAATGTAAGAATGTAGGACCGATTGCATACATAAAAAATAAACAGTAGCCATTTTTTTCATTCTTTAACCTCTTTCCTTAGGAGAGGAATGCGGATGGAACAATGAAGTTTCTAGAGCAATTGCACAATATGGAGAAAGAAATAAGTAACGAACTCACTCTATCTCTTGAGCAGAATGCTGAATTATTAAATGAGATGAAGGTGAGTGGGCATATGGCTCACCGCATGACAGTCAGCCAAGAAGTAAAGTCAAGTTTTAGAATTACGTCGAAATCAAAAAGGATCACATCCAACCACTGGGTGATACAATCGAAGAAATCAATCACAACAGCAAAGTGGACACAGCACTATTCCAAGGAGACATGATCCTCACCAAGTTTCTTCATTTAATGCTTATTGATTTCGGGTTATCCTGTTCTGTATTCATTGTTCTTGCTTTCAGAGAACAAGTCGAGGAGATGATGGAAGGTATTGAAGAGAACAAAAGCAATCGCATCAAACGACAAGCATACCGCGACAAGAGTTATCCCAAAACCTTGTGGTCAAACGGAGTATACTACTCTTTTTATTCGAACGCAAGTGCGTCATCTTGAACCGTTTTGTTCTCATCAAAACCCATTTAATAGTTAACATAAATAATTTTCCTACAAAGTTCAGCCCTAGCAGCGAAAAGAGTGTTCAAGAAAGCTGCCGAGACCTGGCAGAGAGAAACGTGCATTAATTTCTTTGAAAGCAACACAGGTTCGTCACCGCTAATTTTTTTTAACACGAAGAGTTCTGCGGAATAAATAAGTTTGAAGCACCGGATAGGATTCTCGTTATCAATGAAGATGGCTGTTGGTCTAATGTAGGAAGAGTTGGAGGAGTACAGGCTCTCTCTCTTGGAGGTGGATGCGAATCGGTATGATTTACAGATTTTTGCAGCGCGTTAGCGCATAAGCAACATGGGATCCTTATTTTGCTCATAGGTTGGGACCGCTGCACACGAGATTGGACACGCATTAGGTTTCTTCCATACGCAGTCGAGGCACGATCGTGACGACTTCATCACGCTTTTAACAAAGAACTTCTTGGTAATTTTAAGAGAAACTAATAATATAAACAGTTACAAACGTAAAGATATGGTTTTAGGACGGTTGGTTGTCCCAGTTTACGAAAGAAAGCAAGCGGTTTAACTACAATTATAACCTTACCTACGACTATGGAAGTGTTATGCACTATGGAGCAACGGGGTGCGCGTCTAGAAACTGCTAAATGTTTCAGCTTAAAACCACTATAAAGTTGCAAACATTTCAATTGCAGTGTCTCTAAGAACGGAGAGCCCGTAATGATACCACGCGACATGAAATATATACAAACCCTTGGCTCACCAATAATTTCATTTTACGATAAACTCATGATGAATTTGCATTACAAATGTCTGAGTAAGAAAATATTACATTAGTTTTCCATCTTCTATTATGTTTCGCATTATTTTTGCTTAACTATAAATTAACACAGATAAATGTCCAACGAGGTCCTCGGCTACATGCCAAAACGGTGGGTTTCCACATCCCAGGAATTGCTTTGATTGCATTTGTCCCAGTGGTTACGGCGGAAAACTTTGCAATCAAAGAGTAAGGAGATTTTCTGTTTCAAGAATTTTTTAAAAGGTCCATCTAAATGATGCAGCCATTCTTTCCAGCCAACGGGTTGCGGTGAGACATTAACGGCAACCACCTCCTTCCAAACGCTCAGAGATACAGTGGTTGCAAAAAGAACAAGCGATGATTTCACTACATGCAATTACTGGATTCAGGCATGAATGTTTAAGCTAAGGTATTTTAATATTTGGTGGAACTAACATATTCGTTCTTTAAGGCTCCACCTGGTTCTAAGATTGAAGTAGTGCTTGACGGCTACCCAACCGGCTTTGCTATCGACGGTTGCGAATACGCTGGAGTTGAGATCAAAACAGGAAGCGATAAACGTCATACTGGTTACAGGTAAGCACTAACCCAAAAAAAGTCTAGCAGTCATCCTAAGCTTTTTCTACGCTTAAAGTGTTTAGATTCTGCGCTCCAGAAAACGTTGGAACATCATTGGTTTCGACACACAATATCGTGCCTGTGATTACTTACAGCAACAGGGCTCGTGATGCTACAACCGTTTTACGTTACCGAATAAGCCGTCGTTGAACGAATGGCTACGCTTTCGAACCTCAGTGAAAGTAATCAGATTCCTCAATCAACGTTGCGTTTTCTATTGGTTTTATTCATTAACTTCTTGAATAAAAGCATGCATTCACATCCTTACACTTCATCATAAACTTTTATTCGACACACATTCACAAATATACATGCACACCATATAGAGGTGCATACGCTCACATACAAACATACATTACATATATACACATACATACATAGATGCAGATTTGGATATATGCGCAAAATAAAGGCATCGACGCATATTCAAATAGGCAAATGCTTCATTTAATAGAATGGATTATTTGTCGCCAGTTCGAAAAATTTGAATCCGCAGACACAGGTTCTGTAAACGAAAAACGTGGTTGGAAGTGCAAGAGTAACAATGACCTGTCTAGAAATTAAGTCCTACCATTTCTACACACTAAGCGCACGATAGGTGCAATTCGTACGATCTCGCTAGCATGCACAAATTAGAACGCTGGGAAAAACAGGCATGTCGTAGGTTAATCGGCGTAACAGATAACCACTTTTGCATCAATGTACTACTCTTAATGTAACAGTTCTAAACAATAGCCTATCAGCTGGTCAAAACTGACACGATATGTTGTTAATACTAAAGGCCTGCCGTGCGTTGGTTTCCACTCATGTGCAATATGCAGATAGAGTGGGACTAGGACGGCTTTCATTTCAATCTACTTATTTCGGCGCAAACGATTCGCTGATAAGGTTTCTGCGTTTAATCGTTAGCTTTCCCACCACAAATTCTTTATTAAGCACCAATTAAGAACAGCCTCTTTTTCCTAGCAGTTTCTTCATCCTCAAAAATAGGTATTTTCCTTTAGATAGGTAAGCGGTCATTATGTAAACGTAGAAGTACTTCCAATATATGTCACGAAGTCGTCTATTAATGGTTGACAGCATCGCCACTGAGCAAATTTCAAAGTACATAGAAGCTTTCATTGAGGAATAGGACTTCGAAACAATTCTGAGCACCGAATAATCACTAACTCAGAGTGGAGTCCCCGACTTCACAGGAATTTGCCACTTGCAACTTTTTCGACGTTGCAATAGAGAGTAATTTTAAACATGAATAATTAAGCATCTATCTGCAATAATGCTGAAGTATTCGCAAAACTCCGGACGACAGGTGTCTGCGGTGGGGAACGAACTCGCTGTTGCCCTTTCCGGTGAGCAACGCGTTCACCACCACACCATCCAGGTCCTTTGTTTCGCCTCTCTCTCACTCAGGTAGTTCTATCGATCTCTGCCATCAGCAATCACCCGTCATCGGGATTGATCTGGGGAGCTCAAGTCGGCAACGAACGCAGTTGAACTGAGGCTGTAGTTAGTAAATAATGCTGAGATATTGAACTTATATTTCGCAATATATCCTGCCATTGAAAAGAATAAGCGGTGAATAATAACTTAAAATTGTGGTTATAACTACATACCCGTACTCATCTATGTGAGGTTTGTGCCTTTCGTCTCTACGTGAAATACTCAGTGAAAGGCTCGTTAAAAGCGGCAATTGTTTGATGAACACATTTTATTGTCAATGCGATTGAAATAACTGTTTCGTGCTTTCGCTGTTCAGATTATGGAGGTGTTTAGCTGGATAGATTGAAGTCAATTTAACCTTTCTAAATTCCAAAATACTCAATGGAAGACTCACAGAACGCTGTAAATTTGTGATGAAGCTGTTTTAATGCTAGTGCGATTGATATCTAGCTATAGCTGTGGATACTCTATGACCATGAAAAATTACGGATTAAAATTGGAGTATGAAACTTCTCACAACGAAAATTACTAAAATGCAAAAGGAATAATTTGCAAGTGAGTTGAAGATGTAATGGACTGCTTGTGATGGGGAGGACATCTGCGTATTCCGGAGGGATGGACAGTGTTAGAGGCTACGGAATCGATCGATGCAGGTGATCATGAGCCGGATGAAATATCTGTAATCTACCAAGGGCAAAAGAGGAGAAAGCCGAAAACGAATTTTAAAGGTCAGACGTGCATTCAATCACACCTCAAAACGATGCTTAATGAAGTCGAATGCATACCGTATCTCTAAAGGATTGATCAACGCTGAGAGCTTTATTCTTTCTTTTTATCTGAAATCGAAACCATCGCTGCAGAAATTTTACATTCCCAAACCAATGGTACACTCTCTACAAAAGAAGAAAAATACTCCCAGAAGCTTCGGATAATATGTAAGATTTTGGGCGTAATATATTCAAATGACCAAAATGAATATCGGAAAATTTTTGGCTTTCACAGTATTGCACCCAAAATGTAGTAACGTTCGTGTTTCTTGTGGGTCTCTGGTGTATACCCGAGTTACTCCATGATAGACGACATCACAGCCAGTAGAGTAGACTGTTCACTTAGCTTTTATTTCATTCCGAAAGTATTGAAAGCAGTTCTCTTTCACAGAACTGTGTGTAGTACGTGCCAGCAAAAGCGCTTGTTGACATAAAGTCTATTAAAAGTGGTAATAAGTGATTGCAACAGAAACGGTGCCACAATGATTGCCAAGGATCCTGTTTTCCTTTAGAGTTTTCCAAATATCTCAGCTTCATTGTGGTTGTGTTCTTTTAGTTCTTTGAACTATCCACCCTTTCTTTCAATGAGTTGCAATTATTTTAGACAGTATTTATGAAATTTCAAGAAAGGCAGACAGAACAAGAGAAGACAGACCGGTTGAATATTGCATCCCCAACCACTGCGGTTCTCTCGCGTAGACTCAGTAATAACTGTGAAGAACTAAGACGCAAGGCAGTATAAATAATACTTGATCGGAACGCATTGAAGAAGAGTTACGTGGTTACCATCACAATTCCCAATAGTATTTTATAGTTTCCAGGATCGACCTTCTATTAACCTCGGCATTGGAATATGAATGTGTCGTTTTCTTGTTCAGCAATCGCGAGGTTTTTAAACAGCATACATTCACTTCCATAAAAAACACAATACAATACAACGCTAGCTGACGTTTCGGCAGTATCGCCTTCTTCAGAGCCTGGAAGGGTATACTGATATACAATCTACTAGGCCAAACGCTTCAATAACACTTACAAAAAGACGAAAAACTCTCCGGTAATTACATGATCAACAACTTCTCGAAAAACTCACTGCATTTTTTACGTGACTTCCAATGAGGAAGTTTAGAACAGCTGATTACAGTCGCATGTGGTTGACGACTGCACCATCCCACATCAAAAACCGATGCGAACATACGGGATCAGGTCGCGTATGACCTCCGGGCATTCGTCACTGCTATTCATTGTAGGATTTTTGGCATTGATCCAAAAAGCCTCTAGGAGTTTTCGCGCTGATGTTTTGG